AGAAGAGATGATGCTAATGGTCACAACAAGAGATGATGCTGATGGTCACAACAAGAGATGAAGATAGATTCAAGGACCAATGGTACTTGGATTCAGGATGTTCATCACATATGTCTGGAAGGAAAGACTGGTTTGTCAATATAAAGCCCTCAAAGAAAAATATGGTAAAATTTGCAAATGACAATACCCTGGCAGCTGAAGGTATTGGTGATGTTATGATATGAGGAAAGATGGAAAAAGGTCAGTAATCTCCAATGTGTTGTACATACAGGCATGAAGAACAATTTGCTCAGTATAGGGCAGTTGGTCGAAAAGAATTATAAAGTGTCAATCAAAGATAAGTTGATGAGAGTCGTTGATGCAAATGGGAGAGTAATCTTGAAGGCTCCTATGTCTCAGAATCGAACCTTCAAGATTGAACTAAATGTGATGGAGCACAAGTGCCTTTTGACTGCAGCTAGCAGAGATGAATAGATATGACATTATAGACTAGGTCATCTCAACTTCAGAGACATCAGAGATTTAAAGAGAAGAAATATGGTTTCAGGATTTCTAGAATTTGACATTCCAAACGAGGTATGTGAGGAATGTGTGCAGGCAAAGCAACACAAGAATAACTTCAGCAAGGATGCAGGAAGCAGATCGAAGGCTAGTCTTGAAGTCATATACTCTGATGTATGTGGACCAATCCAGGTGGATTCGATGGGAGGTGACAAATACTTTGTTACATTCATAGATGATTTCAGTCGAAAGCTATGGACTTACCTGATCAAGAAGAAAAGTGAAGTGATCAAAGTATTTACCAGGTTTAAGTCTATGGTCGAAAGACAAAGTGGTCGAAAGCTCAAAGTTTTGAGAACTGATGGTGGTGGAGAATATGTGTCGAAAGACTTCGATAAATTATGTGAAAAGAAAGGGATTATGCATGAGGTGGTGCCACCCTATACTCCACAACAAAATGGAATTGCAGAAAGGAAAAATCGAACCATCATGAATATGGTGAGAAGTATGTTGAAAGACAAGAGTTTACCTAAAGAGTTTTGGGGTGAAGCTGTTTCGACTGCAACATACATTTTGAACAGATGTCCTACAAAGAAGCTAGAAGGAATTACTCCAGAAGAATGTTGGTCTGGTGTGAAACCTAGCTTGAGTCATCTGAAGGTATTTGGATCTATTGCACATAGACATGTGCCAGATCAGTTGAGAAGAAAACTTGATGACAAGTCAAGTCAAATGATCCTAGTTGGATATCATTCGACAGGAGGCTACAAGTTGTTCGATCCAGAGAACAAGAAGATTGTGATCAGCAGGGACGTGATCATAGATGAGTTTAAAGAATGGAATTGGACTGCAAATGTCAAGAAAGATTCAGTGGGAATCCTATTCGAAGAGCCAGAAACTCAAGTCGAAAGAGAAGTTCAACAAGAGGAACCAGCAGATATACCAAGTACAAGCAGACCTCAAAGAACAAGACGCATGCCTGCAAGATTGCAAGATTGTGTGATTACATCATATGATGTAATAGATAATGAAGGCGAGCTGGTACATTATGCTTTCTATGCAGATGTCGAACCTGTTAATGCAGCTGAAGCATTAAAAGATTCGAAGTGGATGAAAGCAATGAACGAAGAAGTAAAGTCTATCGAAGACAACAACACTTGGTCACTTGTCGAATTACCTCAAGGCAAGAAGGCAATTGATGTCAAGTGGGTATACAAAGTGAAAACAATTTCGAAAGGTGAAGTAACTCGACACAAAGCAAGACTTGTGGCGAAAGGATTTCTACAGAAAGAAGGAATAGACTTCGACGAAGTTTTTTCACCTGTTGCTAGGATCGAAACAATCAGGTTGGTTGTTGGTCTAGCAGAAATAAACAGTTGGCACATATGTCAGATGGACGTGAAGTGTGCATTCCTAAATAGACCCTTAGATGAAGAAGTCTATGTTAAACAACCAGTCGGGTTTGTGAAACATGACGAAGAAAGAAAGGTGTACAGGCTACATAAAGCCCTGTATGGATTGAAACAAGCTCCAAGGGCTTGGAATAAGAAAATTGATAGTTCTCTAAGGGAGAAGGAATTTGTGAAGTGCACAACTGAACATGGAGTATATGTAAGAAGAAGCAAGAGTAAATTGCTTATACTATGTCTATATGTAGATGATTTGTTGATAACAGGTAGCTGTAAAAGTGAGATCGAAGACTTCAAAGGTGATCTCAGCAAGGAATTCGAAATGTCTGATTTGGGTGAGATTTCATATTTCTTTGGTATCGAATTCTACAAGAGCAGTAGAGGTTTGATGCAAGACTTGTGGCGAAAGGATTTCTACAGAAAGAAGGAATAGACTTCGACGAAGTTTTTTCACCTGTTGCTAGGATCGAAACAATCAGGTTGGTTGTTGGTCTAGCAGAAATAAACAGTTGGCACATATGTCAGATGGACGTGAAGTGTGCATTCCTAAATAGACCCTTAGATGAAGAAGTCTATGTTAAACAACCAGTCGGGTTTGTGAAACATGACGAAGAAAGAAAGGTGTACAGGCTACATAAAGCCCTGTATGGATTGAAACAAGCTCCAAGGGCTTGGAATAAGAAAATTGATAGTTCTCTAAGGGAGAAGGAATTTGTGAAGTGCACAACTGAATATGGAGTATATGTAAGAAGAAGCAAGAGTAAATTGCTTATACTATGTCTATATGTAGATGATTTGTTGATAACAGGTAGCTGTAAAAGTGAGATCGAAGACTTCAAAGGTGATCTCAGCAAGGAATTCGAAATGTCTGATTTGGGTGAGATTTCATATTTCCTTGGTATCGAATTCTACAAGAGCAGTAGAGGTTTGATGATGCATCAAAGAAGATATGCAGGAGAAATTCTCAAGAGGTTTGAGATGGAAGAATGCAACTCAACTTCGACACCTGCAGAACCAAGACTGCAACTGTCGAAAGATGCAGATGAAGATGATGTTGATCTAACCCAATACAGAAGACTTATTGGATCATTAAGATATCTTTGTCATACAAGGCCTGACTTAGCATACAGTGTAGGTATGGTAAGTAGATTTATATAGAAGCCAAATGTATCACATCTAGCAGCAGTGAAGAGGATACTAAGGTATCTCAAAGGAACTTTCAATTATGGCATTTTGTTTCCTGCAGTTGATAAAGGAAAAGAATGCAAGTTAGTGGGATACACTGATTCGAGTTGGTGTAGTGATGCTGAAGATCGAAAGTCAACAGCAGGATATGTGTTTATGCTAGGTGGTGCACCAATTGCTTGGAATTCAAGAAAGGAACCAGTAGTGGCATTATCATCATGCGAAGCAGAATACATAGCTGCTTCTCTTTGTGCATGTCAAGCAACTTGGATGGTGAACTTGGTCGAAGAGATAACAGGGAAAAATCATGGAGCAATTACCATGAAGATAGACAGCATGTCAGCTATTAATTTGGCAAAGAACCCAATAGCACTTGGTCGAAGTAAGCACATCGAAATGAGATTCCATTATCTTCGAGAGCAGGTAGCAGATGGGAAGATGAATTTGGAACACTGCAGAAATGAGAATCAGATTGCAGACATCATGACGAAGGGGGTGCAAGTCGAAGTATTCAGAAAGCTAAAAGCCATGATGAACATAGACAGTTTAGACACAATGAATTAGGTGGTGTGTTAAATTGTAATTCATAATGTCAAAGAAGATTTGATTTATTTTAGATTTAAATAGATTTGATTTAAGTCCAGAATAGATTTGATTTGATTTGATTTAGTAACAAAAAGATATTTTGGGCTTTGGGCTTAGGGTGTAAGCTCAGTTATAAATAGAGAGAGTAACCCCTATTTTTCAAAGCAAGTCAAATAAGTCAATTCATTGTAATCACAAAATTTGCAGTTGCAAGTGATTAAGAAAGTTTTCCACAATTTGTGGGTAGAGAGAAACTCTGCAGAAATATTTGTCTTGTCTTCTTTTCTTTGTTTGTCTCATAATTAAATTGTCATTGTGGTACAAATTCATCATAGAATTTGGTGGATTTCCAACACAAATAATATTTTGAAAATGTAAGAGCATTTGCATGCACTCGAGTGCCCTAGGTAAAAATGTCACACCCTAATCTATAAACCTAGAGTCACATTCAAAGAAACACGTGAAACATCGCAATAATAAGATAAACTTTAATGAAGTTGTTTTAAAACTTTTTCCACTTAACAAGGGACTACAACTAGATGCATCCGACCCAACTTTTTAAAAAGCTTCTGGTAGATCATACCGTAACAAATTTTTAAGAGCAACTGTTTTTGGCCATCTCAAAAACCCAACCAAAAAAAAATTCAATTATACTCACTACATAAATATTATCGCTTGAGTAGAAAAATATATGATTTTAATCTATAATTCACTCTATCGGTCTATCTTCATTATTTAAAATTGATTTGATAATTAAAATGTTAAATTTGCAGATTCATCTGTTTAATTACACCAAAACTATTAACACCATCATGAGGATTTATCTAAATAATTCGGATTCTCAAACGGAACACTTATTATAAGTCTTCCAAAATTGCAAGTGTTTGTTTAATTTATTTATTGTATATATTTTAATAAAAGAATTGTATAAAATAATTAACACTTAAAAGTGTATTTTTTTTTCTCCCTTTGGTCTTTACAAAAGCTAGTCCCATGATTATCTTGAATTGATTCTCTTTTTGACATTAAAATGAAGCAAGGTTCTACGACATACATGTGCCTTTCTTCAAATATTAAAAAAAGAGTGTTCCAAGCGATTCACATATCGGTGCAGAATATATAATAGTAGTGTTAATTAAAATCTTGTTGTTTGTGTCGATAAACTTTAGAGTAGAGAAATGGAGAAGTGAAACGTGTAGAGTGAGTAAGTAATACAAAAATGCCACATGTCCCGTGTGTGTGGTGCAAGTGTCTAACATCATACCCTACTCAAGTAAGTACTTAACAACAACATTAATGGTACATGTTTTTATACTCTATATGGATAAAAATCGTGGTGCAAGTGTTGTTGTCGTTTTGGTGTTGTTGGTGTTAGGATTCTTCACCTTCTATTTAGCTAATGCCAATACCAATAGAGTTTCTTATGATGAGGAACATGAGAGCAAGAAATCAAGTTTTTGGGTATGGGACACATTCAGAAGAGCCTATTCTATGTATTCATCAATTTTCCCTACAACTACAAGTGTTGGACAGTATTGGCATGTGGTTAAGGTTATTTTAAATAACACTTATGCTTATTTCTTTCCACCAAATATAGAGTAAGTAGCTACCTTCATGAATAATTTGATTTGTAAGTATGAATGAGTATTGTTATGGATCAATTTTTGTGGCTGTTTTATTTTTTTTTTTAAGTTTCAGAAAAGGAGGTGAGACTCAAGAAGTTTCAGAAGCTTTTTCAAAAAGCATACGAACAAGCAAAGCAACTTTGGAGGAAGTTGCAAAATCAGCAGCAGAAAAGGTGAAGAGGAGTTTGTCTCATGATAGGAAGGAAAAGAAAGAGCTCTGAATCTATTTTAATCATCCGCCATACAAACAGAAGTGCTTTATTTTATTTTATTTTATTTTTGTCTTGTTTTGTAGGTAACTAATTAATACTTGTAAGAACTAGGTAGTAGTGTTTGTTTAATCTTTTATGTATATGAAAGAATTTGTAATAAAAAACAGCTATGCTATTCATACACTAAACCTTACACCTACACTGTAATCATTGTTCACACCGTGAACAATAAAATGAATAGTGAATATTGTGTGAACACTATTATGAATAGTGTTGTGAATAGTAATATGAATAATAATAATATAAAATAATAATAGTAAATATTAATATAATTTATAATTTGGTTAATAATTTTTAGTAGCGAAAAAAAATTGGTTAATGAAGTGTAAAATATTGATTAATAAAATGATAAAGTTGATTAATAAATATTCAAATATTAAAAATAAAATGATAATAAATAAAATAATAATAGATTAAAGTTAAAATTGATTAATAAAATATAAAATGTTGATAAATATTCATTAATTCATTAATGAAGTAATGAAGTTGATTAATTATATAATTTTTATATGAATATTCTTTAATTTAAAAAACATTTAAAGTTTTTTTTAATATTAATTTATTTAAAAATATAAAATATTTTTTTAATAAAACACTGTTCACTCTAAAGTTTAAATTTAGAGAGTTTCTTACTAATCAATTTTCGTATTATATGGTGAAAAGGAACATCCGATGTAATTTCGTATTTTCGTATTTATTCTTCTGAAAATCGGAAATATTTTTGATTCGCATATTTTTTTACATGAAACATACAAAATGAAAAAATTAAAAAATTAAATTTTATTGTCACGTTGGCATTTTATATAGAACCGAAAGTATATTTTTGATTTTAGGGATATAATCGAAAATATGTTTCCGGTTTTATTAGCGGAAAAGTTGAATTTTGTTGCCACGTTGATATTTCATATAGAACCATAAATATACTTTCGGTTTTAGGGAATATACAGTTTACTTAAAACAGTAACCAATATGCTCATATTTGATCACCACTATTTCTTCTTTCTTCTCTAAAAACCTCTCAAAAACCATCATTATTCTCAATCTATTTTTCACTCCAAATCATCATTTTTGTGGTTCATCATATCAAAAAGAGTTCAAGGAAGTAGAATTTCAGGTAAAGTTTATTCATTTCACCCCTCATTCCCTATATTAATCTGTTCTTTTCTGCATAAAAAGGTTACGTACAAATTGGAAGTATACTTTCAGTTATTAGTTGAACAGAACCAGAAGTTAATTTTCGGTTTCTGTCTTTTTTTTACAGCAATCTGTCAATGTGACATGTTATTAAATTTTGTGTTTTTATCTAACATTAGGTATGGTGCACCCGGATAACAATTCCAAATTTGATGTGTTTCAGGTTGTTTCGTCTATCGTAGTTTCTCCTCTCGCAATTAAGGTGGTAGATGTTCGAGAGCAATTTGAAAATATAGAAGAATTTGAATTACGTGAAGACATGTTGCAATGGATTCGTATAGAGGTAACAGAATTAGGATTTCGTGTTGTGATTGGAAGGTCCGATAATGGTACAAATAGAAGAAATGCATTTGTGATTTTGACATACGAAAGAAGTGAGAAATACATACGTCGTATTCAAAATTTCAAATGCGACGACACTGGTTCAAGAAAATGTGAATGTCTATTTAGGTTGCATGGTTATCTTATAGCAAATAAGAAATGGAAATTCAATGTGCTATGCGATTTACACAATCACGATTTAACTCAAAAGTTAGTCGGTCATCCAATTGCATGTCGGCTGCTTCCGGATGAGAAGACATGTGTTTCTCATATGACTTTGAATTTGGTACTGCCTAAACATATACTTGCAACCTTGAAGCACAAAATACCCAAGAACACATCAATATCAAACAAGTTTACAATAAGCGGTATCAAACCAAAATAGTGCTTAGGAAGGATCGAACCGAGATGCAACACCTCTTGAAACTTCTAGATGAAAACAATCATGTTTGTAGGCACCGACGGGGGGATGATGAGGTAACAGTAAGAGATATTTATTATACTCATCCTGATTCTATTAAATTGTTCAATACGTTTCCCACCGTGCTCATAATTGATTGAACATATAAGACCAACAAGTACAAGCTTCTATTCTTGGAAATTGTTGGTGTTTCATTAACTGAGAAGACATATTCTGTTGGTTTGCATTTCTAGAGTGCGAAAAAGAGGACAAATTTGTATGGGTTTTAGAGGTTTGTACGTCAATGTTGAAGGATCAAGAAGATATGTCGAAAGTCATTGTTATCGATCGAGATAAAACATTAATGAATTCGATTGCAACTGTATTTCTCACTTCTTACGCATTACTTTGTAGGTACCATATTACTAAAAATGTGAGAAGTTGGGTTGCGGTGGAGATAAAATAGGTTGCAGGGGAAGATGGAAAATTGGTCAAATCGGGCGTCATTGTGGAGAAAATCATGGATGCATGGAATCATGTCATAGCAAGCGCGTATGAGAGAGTGTGTATTAATCTTATAAGATACGTTTTCTCGGAGACTTATTTCCCCCTGCGCACTGCTCCAACACCAAATCCCAATGATCGTGTCATATGTGTTGGGTGAGTTTCAAATCCGTGACATTTTGTTCAAGTCTATTTGAAACCGGAATGCCCTATACCACCTACATCACCGGAGTGAGCGCTTCATTTCACAAACCCATGTGAGACCTGGCCAGACGAATTCATTGAAAGGATGCAAGAATACAACAAGTTGAACCAAATTGAAATATCAAAAAAAGGGAAAAGTCAAAAGAGGTGCCACCGGTGGATTTATCCGACGATACTTTTTTCGGCTCATTCAAGTAGTTAGGTAGCATTTTATTGTTAACGTCATTTTGTTCATGTATTATGATGTGGAAATATAGCCATTTTTGTAGTTTGATCAAAAATACAATATTTGAATACACGAGGTTTTTTGATAAAAGTTGTTGTTTCTGTTTTGTTACTAGTTTTTCACTTCCAGGGCCTTAATCGGAAGTATACTTCCAGTTTCAATTTTGGTAAAAAAACTGAAAATTAACTTTCGATTATATCACCGACAGAGATAGGATTTGTACGGTTCATGTTTACCTCCAACTACTATAAAAAAGCCCACTTCTTATATTTTTGCATACCACAACACCAAAAACCATATATGAACATGAAATTGAACATCAAATAGCATGTTGGAGTTGTCCACTTTAGCGATGCTACACCATCTCGCGAATTTAAATTCACTGTGTACACCCTGATTCAAGATGTGCGTGAATATTACAGGAACTTGTATCTTATGGTGACAATCAGAAAGTTGTGAAGATCGAGTATCGCGCACCATCTGTTGACAAAGATGGGAAGCTTGTGTTCATCAATCGTGAGCGGAAGAACGACGATAACTACGGGCTATGTAGAATACTTTACCAGTTTTGAGGAGAAAGTTATGATCGAGCTAGATGCGACTATAACAAGAGCGGTCAATGATATTATCATGATGTTGCAACGTCCACCTGGGCGTTGATTTGTAATGTTTGATTTATGTTTTTGTTGCAACTCCTAAATTATTTGTTATGTCTATGTTATGAATTGCATGGTAAAGTTTATGTTCCAAACATGTTTTCTGATTTATATGAAGAATATAATCAGAAATACACCTCTGATTCCAAATCGGAAGTATACTTCAGATTTCTATGTATACTTTAGCAGATCTAAGTGTGTATCAAAAATATACTTCTGATTTTGAAAACATTTATAAAATTTCACGTGATACGTAAAAAATACATGAGATGGATTAAGAAATTGCCTAAATTTGTCATTGTTTTTTTGATAAATTATTATTTATCCAACACAAAAAATTAAATAAAATTACCCTTATGAAGTGTTAAAAGTTGAGTGGTCCAAGTGTACTCTATTTATTAATGTCATTAAAAATTGTATTTTTTTAATATTAGCCATGTAATTTATGTATTTACAGTCCAATCCTTTTGCATTTATTGCTATTTAACACGTTGTTCAATTTAAGTTACTTTTTCTAAAAAATGGTTGATATTCCCGTAACACCTTCTTTCACGTCAAATTACATAGTAGTAGTAAATTTGCTACTGTATGCATTTTCATTTTGCATTCTATTCGATGTTACTTAAATAATTGATTTTATAAGGATATTAAGAGATAATTTCAGTGATTCGAACAATTATTTGAACTCAAGTGCTAGAAACTAATACCAAATAACTAACAATTGGTGATTTGATCATATTTGTGAGAGAATAATTTTAAACTAACGTACAGTTTTTTGTAATTACTTTCATAAATTAATTTTAGAATTTTTTAAAAGTTACTCTTAAAATATTTACAATGATAATTTGTTATTTAATTTTGTAAGTAGATCTTACTATTACAAATTATTTTTAAATATTTTTTTATAATATTATAATATTTAATAAACACTCAATTTTGCTAAGTAACCAGTTCAAAAAAATAATAATTAAACAAATCTCATTAATAATTTAATATTATTATAATTCAAAAGATATTAATTTAATTTACAACTTAATACACTAAAAAAATATATTTTATCAAGACCAATTTTTTAAGAAACTGGCTTCTTTTTTTAGAAAAATCAATTTTTGAATTTTTTATTATTAAATAAAGTCTCCGAAAAATTATAGTAGAAAAAAATATTCTAAAAAATTTCGAGAACTTGAGTTCTCAAAAATACCTAAAAGAAATGCTAAAAATGTACAGATGTGTGACATAAGCTATAGGTCGATTGCATTGATAGGATGTATTTACAAGATTATTTTCAAAATCCTTGCAAATAGATTAAAAAAAAGTGATTGGATCAGTAATCTCTGAATCACAGTCAGCATTCGTATCAGACAGGCAGATCCTCGACGACATTTTAATCGCGAACGAGATTGTGGATGAGGCTAGGAAAAAGAAAAAGGAAATGTTGATGTTT